GTCTGTAGCTCGGCGACTTGCACCGCGCGGCCGGAGGCGGCTGCTGCGCGGCCACTGCCCTGTACGCCCAGCCCCGCTGCGTTCCTCCTCCGCGGCGTGCGGCGGCCGAGCTGGCGGCCACCCGCTGATTGGTGCGAGATGCGACGCGCCGGTTACGCAACGCTCTGCCCGCAGCGCGCCGGCATGATGCGCTGTGAAGAACGGGTTGGTCGGGTTTGATCGGTGTGATGCGCCGGCTGCAGCGTACGCCGGCACTGCAGTGTCCGGTCACACGGGACGTGTCGGCACAGTGGCTTTGTTGCTGTGCTTTAGGGACAATACAGCACGATAGAACGGGTGCAGCGGACGCCGGATCTGGCTCCGCAACTAGATCCGGCTGATTAAATAAACCGGATCATTCATTCAACCAACCAACCAACCAACCAACCAACCAACCAACCAACCAACCAACCAACCAACCAACCAACCAACCAACCAACCAACCAACCAACATCTTTCTTGTAACCTCCACAATGTGGCTGTTCCACCCATGCGGCAAGTTTTACTGGCGTTCTCACACACATGCACCTACGCAAATACACACACACACGCGCGGATTTTGCCAATACAACACATGATGGACTGTCACACGTCAGTATGTTGAGCGATGGCCGAGCCCGCCGAGTAGAGGCCCTCGGGCCCGCCGACCGCCGTGCCGCTGCAGGAAACCTGTTCCATGTGAACGCAGTCCAGAAGGCAGAGCTGCGGCGGGCTATCGCCGTGCGCACCTTCGACAGCTGTAAAAGGCTATCGGCGGTTCCACGCGAGACGCGGGTTGACACGTCATCGCCGCACAGCACACGCGATTTCAGAGATTCGGTGAGCGAGACCTGGGTGGGATTGTATGCGTTGTCGCTAGGTCACATTTAACTAAAGGTGCGTCACATTTTTGTCATTTTAACTTGGCTGAGATCGGAGACACATTATTAAAGCAGCGAGTACCTATGACGGCACGCGAACCTTGAACCTTGAATGTGAGGCCACTCATCGCTGCTGCGACTTCCCCACACAGTCAAGCAGTACTGCAAGTGGGAAGGACTACAGCTTCAGTTGGCCTTTTTTAACGTTCGCCATCAGCGTCGGCGAAAATTTTGAGATGTTGCAGATGCGTGCGTAACAGCGTCTCAGCTCTTCTTACACATGTGACCCCCGAATGCGACCCCGAGACCCCCTGCGGCAATATCAAGGATTTTGACCTTATGGGAGACATAAAGAACGAAATATCAGAATGGAACCCGTACCAACCGAGCGTCGCTGACGTGAGTGTACCAGGAAAAACCAGCTGTCGGATTCATCTGCAAACTATTTTGCGCGAACCGAAACTCAGCTACCGCCAAAGTTTCCTTGGTGCGATTTTTAAGGCGAATTGAAATGTTTGGGTAACACGTATAAATGAACTGCGCACCGATCGCATCGATGACGAGCTTGGAGTCAGTGATGTAAGGTTGAGAGTCATGTCATAGTAATACTAAAATCGGCCCTTATATCGAGCCCTGGATCACACCGTGAATTAGCGTCAACACGTCATTTCCACCACGCGCACACTGCCTGCGATCGCAAGGCCAGTCTGAACGCATCGGAGTCAGTGCCATACCCCCCGAGTTTCTTCTGGAGCTAGCCATGCTTGACACTGTCGAGGGCTTTAGGTGTGTCCAGCGCCGTTAGTGAAGGGATTTTTCCGTCGTCGATGATTTCCGAAAAATGAATCACCGCGTCGAGCATGGCCGTCTGCGTGGGGAGCCCGGGCCGGAAGACATGTTGATCACACGGCATGACCACACATCACGTCACGCGGGGTTGGTGAGAGCCATGAGGCCGGGTTGGTGAGAGCTATGAGGCCGGGCTAGTGAGAAGCGTGAGACCGGGTGGTGAGAGACATGAGGCCGGGCTGTTGGGCCGGCCTCAGTGTCGGGCAGTGTCACCAGCACGGCTGTTCTCGGTCGAACACGGCTGGCCGGGCACTCGGCGGACGGCGGCGAGGGCCCGTGCTGTGACGGCGCGCCCTCACCGCGACGCCGCCCGATCCGTCTCGGCGGTGACGGCCGCACCCCGGCCCGCCGTCAACGGGCGTGCGGCGTCCGCTCACGCCGCGGCACGGGTCACCGCGCCGTCCGCTCGGCCCACGCTCTTCGCCGTTAGTGCGAGCCGACGGATGCATGTCGAGGAGTGAGAGCGCAGCTCGCTCGATGTTGAAGCCGTGCGGATGCTTGAAGGGGATTCCGCTTTTAACACCGTATCAGCGGCAACGCCAAGTGCGCCCATTCCGTCTTCCGCGGGAGGTCTCAATGGTAGTGGTGGTGGTGGCAGAGGAAGAGGATGGTGATTGGTCAGTGCTAGTGTCAGTAGGGCTGAAGTGTTGCGCTGACTGAAGTAAGGTTTGACGCAAGGCGTTCGCTAAATTAACATCTGTTCTTGACGACAACCGAGTGAACATGACAACAGTCTATTACCCATCCGGCAGGTGTCGCAGAATGGCCTGGAGATCCTGGGCCTGCTGGTGGACCGGATGAAGACCGACTTCAGGCCATATGTCAACGCCGTGCTTCCGCACGCTGTCGACAGACTCGGTGAGTGGACGTGCCACCGCGGCAGCCGACTGGCGCGCATGCGCGGCAGACAGACACACGTGAGGCCGCGCGGCGTTTTTGAGGCGAGGAGTGGTCGGTCGACGAGGGCGATTGATTGATGCTGGCGCTGGTGGGAATGGAATTTTGCGCCGAACGGGTCGTTTGTGTCGTCGTTTGGAAGCTTGCTGTAATCAAGCCTCATAGCGAGGCTGGGTTCAGGGCCAGGTGGGTATTTATAGATTACTTACTGTTGCGGAATGCAGTCGTCAAAGGCGTGATGGTATGCAGATGCTATGCACGTGGTAGCGTTAAGGCCCAAAAATCGATGACATCGGAGTGTGCCGCAGTACGTTGTCCAGAGCATCTTATTTGGCTTCATATTGGGCTTCTTTGCCGTCGGGGGTCCCTACCCCAGCGACGTGTTCGAGACCACGAAAAAATGATAAGGGGCAAGACCGTGGAAATATTGTAGCGTAGCTGTTGACACGTGGGCACATTTGCACCCGTTTGGTCCGCACAAAATGGACCTCAGGCTACGCCAAGCGATTTATTGTCAGACCATGACCTTGTGCCCATGTAGTACGAATAGCGTCCTGGTAACGTCATCTCGAGGCGCGCAGGCCTGTTTGCGACAAGTGCCGTGCATTTTTGTGTGTTTGTTTACGTGAATCTGTGCCCTCATGAGTGCGAATTCAGTTTATGAATAGTAGTCTACAAACTCGAGATCGGTGACATTTGATGATCTTGTTTGACATCAGGTGAGTTCTAGACCGCTGTTTTGTTCTTAATTGAATTCAGCACACCAATTTGTGCATTTGTGGTCAGAAATAAGCTTGTCCTTTTCACGAAAACATATCACCTTTTATTTTGTGCCTCCAAGCACTCAGACCATGTTAAGCGAAAGGGTCACCGGATGGTGTCAAGGGGTCGCACCGAATTTTGACTCCTGAGATACCTGGCTACCCTTTGTTTATTGTTCAACAATCTGTGTTCAGTTAAGGACTAATTGACGTAGCGTGCCTGTTGTCCTCTTGCCGATGGCGTGCGTGAAGATAACTCCCGCCCAGAGAGCGTTTATATATTTAATCTCAGTCCCGTATTTTCCCGGATTGCCGCATTCCGGATTATCCCGGAATCCCGGCTTAATCTCTACAAAATCTGGGATTGCCCTTGACAGGTAAAGCTTGCAGCCGGTGGCAGCCGCTGTAACGAAGGTCAGATGACGTCAGAGGGCAGGACGGACCGCGCCGAGCATTACGGCACGTTAAGCTTTGGCCTCCAAATTATGCCCTTGACGTGGAATTGCGCGATCAGATGGTAGGGGTCAGGGCCCACACAAAAAGCACTGCTTAGCATGGTTGGCGTTTAGTTTGTAGTCTACCTACAACGCCATCAGGCGGCGTCGCTCTCCTGCTCCATGGATACCGTGATGACGTACTGTCGAACGGGCTTTAGTGTCACCCCGACCGTCAGTCGCCGGATCTAACGGACGCGACTCGCGCGCCGCTCCGCTAACGTCACAACCGTGACGCTCCGCCGCGGCGCGCTGAGGTGTGGGCTGAGAGGAGACGGCGGCCTGGTCTAGTCACGTGCTAAGAGGAGACGGCGGCCTGATCTCTAGTCACGTGCTGAGAGGAGACGGCGGGCTAATCTCTCGTCACGTGCTATGAAGAGACGGGCTGTCTGATCTCTGGTCACGTGCGGAGAGGAGACAGGCGACCTAATCTCTGGTCACGTACTGAGAGAAGACGGTGACCTGATCTCTGGTCACGTGCTAAGAAGAGACGGTCTGATCTCTGGTCACGTGCGGAGAGGAGACAGGCGGCCTAATCTCTGGTCACGTACTGAGAGAAGACGGTGACCTGATCTCTGGTCACGTGCTGAGAGGAGACGGGCTGTCTGATCTCTGGTCACGTGCTGAGAGGAGGCGGGATGCCTGATCTCTGGTCACGTGCTGAGAGGAGACGGCGGCGTAATCTCTGGTTACGTACTGAGAAGAGACGGGCCGTCTGATCTCTGGTCACGTGCTCAGAGGAGACGGCGGCCTGATCTCTGGTCACGTGCTGAGAAGAGACAGGCTGTCTGATCTCTGGTCACGTGCTGAGAGGAGACGGGATGCCTGATCTCTGGTCACGTGCTGAGAGGAGACGGCGGCGTAATCTCTCATTACGTACTGAGAAGAGACGGGCCGTCTGATCTCTGGTCACGTGCTCAGAGGAGACGGCGGCGTAATCTTTCGTCACGTGCTGAGAGGAGACGGGCTGCCTGATCTCTGGTCACGTACTGAGAGAAGACGGTGACCTGATCTCTGGTCACGTGCTGAGGGGAGACGGGCGGCCTGATCTCTGGTCACGTCCTGAGAGAAGGTGGCGGCCTGATCTCTGGTCACGTACTGAGAGGAGACGGCGGGCTAATCTCTCGTCACGTGCTAAGAAGAGATGGGCTGCTCTATCTCTGGTCACGTGCTGAGAGGAGACGGCGGCCTAACCTCTTGTCACGCGCTGAGAGGAGACGGGCTGCCTGATCTCTGGTCACGTGCTGAGAAGAGACGGTGTTGTAATCTCTCGTCACGTGCTGAGAGGAGACTGGGTGCCTAATCTCTCGTCACGTGCTGAGAGGAGACAGCGGCCTGATCTCTGGTCACGTGCTGAGAAGAGACGGGCTGTCTGATCTCTGGTCACGTGCTGAGAGGAGGCGGGATGCCTGATCTCTGCTCACGTGCTGAGAGGAGACGGCGGCGTAATCTTTCGTCACGTGCTGAGAGGAGACGGGCTGCGTAATCTCTGGTCACGTGCTGAGAGGAGACGGGCTGCCTGATCTCTGGCCACGTGCTGTCATTCTCGTCGTGTCGTGCCGGAACGTGCTGAGTCTTATATGATCGACAACCGCGGTGTATGTTCAGCTCACATGTCATCGATCACTCTGTCGTCATGTTATCTCCTCGCAGCATCGTGTTTGGAATGTCAGCCGTTTCCCTCCATCTGTGGTATATGTACCGTCACGCCGGCCACGTGATGCTGCGACCATGTAACCGCCCCCCGTCTGCCGTAGTGTTTATCGTCTGTTGGTGTCTGACCGTTTGTCACCCGTGAACGTCTGGCCGGAGACATGTGTGGGATGCCATGCTTATCACCCCCTCAGTCGACCTCAGCCGGTCCGACCCCCGCCCGCAGGCGACGCCCGGGAGTCGGTCCGCGAGAAGGCGCACATCCTGCTGATCAAGCTGATGCTGGCCACCGTCAGCCCGCAGCAGCTGTTCGACAAGCTGTCGCCGGCGCTGGCGCACAAGAGCGCCAAGGTGCGCGAGGAGGTGATGGTGCTGCTGCAGAACGCCCTCGCCGAGTGAGTCAGACTTCACGCTGCGGCCGGGGTGGTGGGGATGGCGGCGGGGGACTGCTGTTTGTCAAGCGCTGGGAGTGGCCAGAGGACGTGCTGGTGACCGGCGCACGCCTCCTGTTACGGCCGCGGGCGGCCTGAAGAAGAATATCTCGAACATGCTCCGACGCCTTCAAGCGCTGAGCAGCGCTTGCTGCAAATCCGGGGGCCCATGCTCGAACCTTGTGGATAGCGTTTAGCCCCGGCAGGCATGACATCAGAACGATGGTTTCCCCATACGCTGAATTGTTCGCTACCAGAACCTGTACCGGCCTTGACCGGCGCCAGAGCCTCTGGCGTCGGGCGGCCCGTGAGGCCACGACCCGAGCGGCGCGGCCGTTACGAGCCTCGTGGCGATCCCGGGTCGGCGCTGGGACGGCGGGTCACCCCGCAGCAGCACCCCCGCCGCGGAGGCGTTGACCCGGCGCGCATTACGCTTCTACGTCAGACGCGTTGCACATGACTCGGGCCGGGCGCGTGGGAGTGAGCCGCGCTGTCGGCCTCGGCCGCGCCGATCCCGGCCCAGCCGCGCGGTCGCGCGACACGGGCTGTCTGGCGTGGTGATGCGGCCCGGCGCGTCACGTGGCTCCGCTGCAGTGACAAGCGGTCAGGCCCCAACCAGCCGTGTAACCGCAGATGTCACTGTCGATATCAGGCGATGCAGTTCATGCAGTTCTGGCTGGTGGTGTTCAGTGGGCGGCGGACTTTCTTAGGAGCGGCTCGCTCCCGCAAGCTCGTTCTTCGTGGAAGTGTTCGAGAATCACGCGACAGCGCTCCGCATGGCACGCGCTCTCCACCGCCTGACACATGGCGACCCGAGCGACCTTAGCGACGCCTGAGCGGACACGGCCGGGCTCGCTGGGCTCGCTGCTCGCAGGGCTCGCTGCTCGCCTCCGCCCGAGCGGCCGTCTGAAGCCAGCCGTGTGCGGTGTGGGAACAGCGGGCCGCCGCTGCGCTCCCGTGCTGCGGTCACCCCATTTGCATGCCGTGACCTCCGGGTCCGGGGGGCGGGGCGGGGCGCGCTCGCGCCAAACTCGGACGTCGGCCGGGGCGGGCGGCCGCGCGGCTCGACGCTGTCGCGTGTTCTGCAGCGTTCGAATCGGCACGGCCCAGCACAGGTGGTCGTTTTACCGTCGGACGCGGCTTATTATGACGGACGGAAGCACTTGGCTCACCTCACGTCGCTCCAGTGATGCGACGATGCCGATGTGTGGTAACGAGTAAGGATGCATCCGAGAGAGTTTAACGTGAACTACATTCATTTGTTCAGTTTCAGCCCGCCACCCGTCCCGACGTGGCCAACCACCGTTTAGATGGGCTGATATCTTTTGCTGTTTTGTAACCACCTAGATCTTACTGACAACAGAAAGTTCACAGCAACTAGTACCCCATGGCTTTTTCTGCAGCGTAGTAATATGACTACCACTCTGCCTTCCCATCCGATTAGCAAGTGAAGTGTAACAATTCCAATTTGCGGAACAGCGGAAGAAGGCAGTTCGGAAACGAGTTCAGATGACCGCGACCAGGCCTCGTAGCGACATGTGGCTGAGTAGTACTCAACGTCAAAGGGTCGGTCGTATTGTCACAAACGTGGAGCGATGCGTGTACACTATCACGCCCCATCGTATTAAAGCCATGGGTCCGCCTGTTTGGGGTGTTTTAATTTTTGTCATACCTTGGCAACCAGCATTGGCAGAGACGTGCAGCTGACAGCATGCTGGAGGCGAACGTACAGTGTGCACATTACCCTGCGACCTCAACGCTCTCCGGCCCACGGATACGCCAGCTATGAACCGGAAAGCTGTCATTGTCACGTTTCCTAAAACCGGCCCCAACTGCAACGGGCTGTGGCCCAAGCCGAAATGCAACGTGCCATGAAGGGTGCATAGGCGCATAGCTCAATGCATTGTAGAACGACATCTAGTCAGAATCTGCCTCACTCACTTAAGTTACCAGAACTTTGCAGGCCTATAGCGTGGCTATACTCCGGCAATGACTTTTGTAAGTTTGCGTTAAAGTTAAAGTTAAGTTTGCGTTAAGTTTGCATTAAGTTTGCCTTTGCGTCAAAGGTCAGCAAGCCTCCGACTACTAACGGGGAATATTATGGCTTCTGAACTTAAGTAGTTGCTCGGCTTGTGAAGGACATTGAAGCGCCCTGATAGTGTTTTCCTTCGCAAACTGCTGTCTGATCCGGTATTCTCCTCATCACAGAATACCACACGAGTGCCGTGTTGTGAGCTGTGTACTGAGAATTCGCTTATGTAAGGGATTTCATTGAGTGCTATAGCAAGATCAGCGCTAGTTGCATGCGATTTGCTGCCAGGGAAACCGCGGGGCTTTGACCGACATCGCTCAGAAAGTACCAAACGAGAACATGGCGGCGGAAACAAGCACCCACACAGTGGCCAAATGAACTTCCCCTCCGCGGCGAGCAAAGCGTCAAGCGGACAGCCACACAGCCGGCGGGAGATGGGTGCTCGACCTGGGACGTCCTGAGCGGCGTTGCCCACCGGCTTGGTCACTGTGCACGCCGAGCGTGCGTCAGACACCCAGCCCACCCGGCGCCAGCCGGCTCGGGTTCCGGGCCACGCGCCCGGCAAGGCCCCGGCGAAGGGCGCCTCGTCAGGATCGATAGGACCGCCCACCGGCCGGGCGGACCCGCCCCCATTACGACAACAAAGACACGCGGCCGTCGACGGCTCCGGCGCGCCGCAGTTTGGGACGTTTCGGGGAGGAGGCGGAAGCTGCTGCGGCCGCGTGGCGGTGGCGATAACCATACGGTAACCTTTGGAGGTGCTGTGATTGGCTGCGACAAGGTGGGGCACATGGGTTGAGCTTTGTGGTTCTTCAGAGCGCCTTGGCTGCCCAGTATCTTGTCCCGGTCCCAAAACGTTTGCCAAAAATACTGCAACCAGGAAACAATTGTGTTTTTTGGAAACATGTCCTTCCTTGCAGTGCTTTATGTCAGGCTCCACACATGTTGGGCTGCGCATACCCAATTGACATGCTTGTTTTGTCTATTTATAACAAGTTATAATGTAGATCCACTCGTCGGTTTGGATCATTTGCTGTGATGATTCCGGAGTGGGGGTCCTGACCAAAGCTGCCCTGTCGGGTGGGCGCCTCCCCTTCAGCACAACTTGTCCCGGCTATGGGTTTAGTTCGCCCCAGGCAAGCTCGGCGCTCCACGCCCTGGTTAGGAGCGACGGCTCGGTCGGGGATCGGACCCGCGTGATGTACATGGTGCATCGATCCCCTGTCGTGGCCGCCGGCTCTCGGACCGGTGCGGCTTGCTGGCAGCTGCGCCGCTGCAGCTTCGGTGGCAGGCTCGCTGACTGGTGACGGCCAGTTCGAGCCAGAGGGCTGCGGCGAGGCTTCGGTCCATCGTACCCAATTGGGGGCGGAAACTGACGGTTTGTTTAATGCTGTCCGCATGTTTCCGCTCGACGGACTCACACGTCCGACCTATATTGGTAGGGTCAGGGACGGAGCCCGACTGTAGAGCTCTGAATATGCCGGGGCTCTTCATGGGAGCTTGCTTGTCAGCAGACTGATTTGACAATGCCCATGTTCGTATGAATGTCACGCCTCAACACGCGCTCGGGTAGGGGAGTCAAATTGACCCCACCGAATGTTTTTCCAAAATGGTTTTCGAACGGCGCGGCGTAGCCACGTAAAATTTTGCATAGCTATAGACGATTGAATAGCGGATCGTCTTACATAAAGTTTTTAGATGTCCTTGTAAGGTCGCTTACCTATGACAGGTCAAAGCCGGGCCATGGTTTCAGCGGAGGCAGTTTCTAGGGAATCGTCCAATCTGATACAATGACGGAGTGTTTGACGTAGCCATACATCTCTGAGATGCTTTCTTAGGCACAACAATCATTGAATGAGCAAATTACGTTAACCTAAGGTTAGGTATGAAGTTCAGACCAAGGTCACAACCAGCTGATTTATTACTGTAGGGATTGCTGTATGGGGCAGTTTGTGGTACTCATTTCGAATGTATTGACAGCGGGAACCGCATTATAATCGTCCATTGACTTCTTATTGGTCAGAAAAGGTCATTGACCTAAGACGACCCGGGTCGACATTTTGGTTTATGAACATACTGCCTAGCGTAATCTTTGTCGCTTATTCTAAGTTATTTTGCTTAGAAACAGTTTTCAAGGTTTTGGGGGCACTTTGGTGACCAGCCTAGAAATTGACCTTATTTGACCTGAAGATCATGACCTAAGAAGCTTAAACTTTGACCTAGGTGAGTTCATGTACAGGTCAAGACACCCTGCAAATTTGGTGTCTCTAGTTCTCTGAGTTCCCGAGATCTCGGGGTCAAATTGACCCCCCCCCCGAGCGAAGGGTATCTAGCCGGCCACCCGAGCGCGTGTTAATGTGATTATCTGTTGCGGCTCTGTACCCTCCCTCCCCCTGCATGGTTTAAGCGCAATCCTGCTGGCTTCGCTGGTAGCCCACGTGATGACGCTCCGTGACCCTCTGAACCCTTTACCGACAGTCACGGCGCGGGCGCGATCCTGCTGGCGCCGTCGGTAGCCCACGTGATGACCCTCCGTGACCTTCTGACCCCTTTACCGACAGTTACGGCGCGGGCGCGATCCTGCTGGCGCCGTCGGTGGCCCACGCGATGACCCTCCGTGACCCTCTGACCCTTTGACCGACAGTCACGGCGCAGGCGCGATTTTGCTGGCGCCGCTGGTGGCCCCTGTGGTGCGACTCCTCAGCGACCCGGCCGCGCCCGTGCGCGACACCGCCTTCAACACGCTGGTGGAGCTGTACAAGCACGTGGGCGAGCGACTGAGGTTCGACCTGCAGCGCAAACACAGCGTGCCGCCCGCCAGGTAGGAGGCGAGGCGGCGTCGCGGTCGGCCGGTCACGGTCGAGACACCGCGGTATTGGGCGACTGCGCGGCTTGGCGGTTGTGTTTTCGCTGGTATGGCCGTTGCCACTTGGCGCCTGATGCGATGGTTGGCTCGTTCGTTTTGGCGTTGTGTAGTGTGCGCCACGGATTGATGGGGCAATCGTTGTTTTGTATTTTGTGTGCAGTTGGTGCTTGTGTTTCATCACAGAGCTTAACATACCAGGGCTTCACACACTCTTCGCTGTTTTCGCGGTCGGGAGTGCGGTCGATCTTGGTAGCTGTGCTCAGCCCAAGCCAGTGTGGGATTTACGTCTCAGGCATGTACGTCGGGGCCCCAACCAAGCTGTGACGCGTACGGCTTTCTCAAGACTCGTTCCCGCTCACCGACTTCTGCTCTGCTTTTCCCTTCTTCCATGACGCATTGCATTGCCGACTCTCCGCCCTCGCCGAGGTGCGCCCGGGGACCGGAGACCGCGGACCGCCCTCGCCTGAGGACCGCAACGCGTCCGTGCCCGGGCCGGCCGGCGGGTCGCGTCGCGCCCTCTCGGGCCGGCCGGCAGGTTCCGCCTAGCTGGGCCGCCGTGATGGATCGGCCGCGGCTCGAGCCTTATTAGAGCAGGGCGCCGGCGTGAGACGCCTCATTAGCGCCGGCTGCCAGGGTGGTCCGGCGATGTAGCCGTCTGAGGTCGACGCCGGGAAGTGGCCGGCCGCGTGCAGTACTGGTCCGCTGCATTGCCGCAGACCGCGGCTTGTACACGGCCCCTTGCTGAATCTTCGTCTTCGAACGGACCACGTCTGTTCTTTTTGTGTTAGCGCATCTCTTTCTGAGTTTTCTTGTCTTTCCAGTTCCTGTGTGCTCCCCCACCACGATGGTGGCACTCGGATTTGTAAAAAGCTGGGCTGTTTTCTCGTCCAACCACCAGCATGTCATTGTGGCCGCGATGTCTGGAACAGAGCTCCTTTTTGATGCGGCCACAGGAGTACGTCTGTGTACCACAGCGACCTCGCGACCTTGTTAACGACAAGTGGATGGTCAAGGACATCCTCCGTAGTCTGATAACCGTCTGTTAGTCGGATGGTTAAGTAAATGGTCGGCTGTGTTAAATTGGATGATAAAGGGATGTGGGAAAATGTGTATGGACTTCATTGTTTGCAAGATCATCCGAATACGATCGCAGCAACAAATTGAGGGGCTGATTCTCGACAACAGTGCTGGTGGTTGCGGTCCTCCAGGGTATCTTCAGTTCCAGCCACTGTTTTGTGGACATGAAGGAGTTTCGACTGGACGGCTGTGCTGCAGCCGGTCAGCGGAGCTCGCTGCAGCGAACGGACGACGCTCCTGCCATCTGTTACCAGTGTCTTGTACCAATAGGTCCACGTGCCATGCCGTGCTGTCTGTATCTGCCGTGTGATGCCGTGATGTGCGGATAAAGTTCGAGAAGCCGTTCCTGTCTTCCGTGATCTGTGGAGCGTGTCAGACTCCGTATTGGCCACTGTCGTGCACGTGCTGCACCGGTGGACAGTGCCTATGCTAGACTAAATTGCCTCTGCCGACCCTGCAGTCCGTGCGCTGCACCGGACTGACCTGACCCCTGCCGTCCCGTGCTGCACCAGACTGACCTGACCCCTGCTGTCCGTACGCTGCACCGGACTGACCTGACCCCATGAAACCATGTGCCAGTTCAGACTGACCTGACCCCTTATGTCCCTGTCCCGCACCAGACTGATCTGACCCCTACTGTCCATGTGCTGCACCAGACTGATATGACCCCTGCTGTCCTTGCGTTGCACCAGACTGACCTGACCCCTGCTGTCCCTGTGCTGCACCAGACTGACCTGACCCCTGCCGTCCCTGTGCTGCACGAGACTGACCTGACCCCTGCTGTCCCTGTGCTGCACGAGACTGACCTGACCCCTGCTGTCCCTGTGCTGCACCAGACTGACCTGACCCCTGCTGTCCCTGTGCTGCACCAGACTGACCTGACCCCTGCGGTCCCTGTGCTGCACGAGACTGACCTGACCCCTGCTGTCCCTGTGCTGCACGAGACTGACCTGACCCCTGCCGTCCCTGTGCTGCACCAGACTGACCTGACCCCTGCCGTCCCCGTGCTGCACCTGACACCTGACCCCTGCTGTCCCTGTGCTGCTGTCCCTGTGCTGCACCAGACTGACATGACCCCTGCTGTCCATCCGTTGCAGGCTGCCGCCGCTGATGGCCATGTTTGACCAGGTGCGCGACTCCGGCCTCATGAAGCCCACCGCCTCCGTGCTGCCGCCCGGCGCTGACGGTAGGTCCACGGCGGGGAGGTCCGCGCCTGCGCCCGGCCCCAACACAGCACCGGGCACACTGGAGCAACGGGCTGGCGGGCGGGGTGTGGGGGGCGGTTGGAGGTGGTCGGTTAAGTTGGGGCGGGCGATGGGCGCAGAGGTTGTTCAACTTTGGGGTAGGTACACATTTGTTTTTGTGGGGAATAGGACATCGGAGGCCGACGATGGAGGGCCTGAAATGTAAATATATTGGAGTTAAAATGTGTTGGGAATGCGGCGAAGTCTCCGTGGACACTGTGGTGAGAAAACTGAAATGGTTTCCGTCGGCCAGGAATACGATTTCATAAACCCCACACTTAAACGTGTGGGACATATTGGGATGTGTCATCACAACACATGCTGGTGACGTTTTTGACAAAATTGAATACATTCGGGCGCTTTTGGGACTTTGATTTTTAAAATCTGAGAGTGGTGTAGCTTTCTTTTCTATTGGCCTCTGGTCTCATCGTACAGAGTTCTCCGTCGACCGAGATCTTGCGGCTGGAAGCTCTGTCCGATCGAAGTTGGATGCCGTAAGCTTTACCTTTCATAATCGCCGCCAGGTGTCAGGAGTGGGTGTCGATGGCCTGGCTTTCAATTTCGTTGTAATCGAACAAACCAAACCATTGGTCTTTTCAATCTTCAACCGTATCCTAAGGTTGCAAAGCTGGCTAGACAGATTTCGGTTGGCGTATTCAATATTCTTATGCTGCTGGTTCGGCTCAGCACGTCCTCGAGGTCGTTGTGAGCTGCCTCGGCCTCCGCTCACCGCCCGCCCGTCCACGTTGCGAGCCACTCTCGGGGCGTGCGGTGGCGCATGGTCTCGCGCCGCGTCCGCTCCCCACCACGGAGGTAGGCGCTGTCACCCAGGCGCTGTTGCAATGACAGTGAATGCGTGGTGCCAGTGTGCCAGTCGGGCGCCGCGCACTGTGAGCGGCCTGCGTGTGGCGCTGCTACCGGCGTGCGCGTAATGGTGCTGGGGCAACAGATGATTGGTTTGCGCAATCGTCCCAAATGCCTTCAGACCCGCAGCCTTCAACCACCTCCACTGGCGTAGTGAGGTTGGGGCGAGACTTCCCTACAACGTTGTGTCCGTCTCTTGGTTTGGCGGCTACTTAGTGGATGGGTAGTTGAGGGCTTTTCTGCAGTGCTGGACTGGCCGTATCGGCCATGCACCAAAGAGCTACATAAAAGACTTGCGTTTGACATTGCTGAACAGGGTATTTCACTGGCGGCTAGCTCCTCACATCTTTGCTTACTTCCCCAGGCGGCGTGCCTTGCGAGTGGTCTGGCCTGATGGTCATGTTTTATTGTATCGTCAGACCCTCTCGGTCGGCCAGTATGGCACGCGGGCTGCCACCCATGCTCTCACAGCCCTGGAGACAGACAGCCAGTTTCAGCGAACATTCCGCTTGCATCATTATATATATATATATATATATATATATATATATATATATATATATATATATCTATATCTATATCTATATCTATCTATCTATCTATCTATCTATCTATCTATCTATCTATCTATCTATCTATCTATCTATCTATCTACATCATATACATACATCATATATATATATATATATATATATATATATATATATATTATCTCGCCGTTTGCTCATCATCTTCTGGAACTCGGGTGGGCACACCGATCGCTCAGCACCAGTCAATAGTCGGACACGGGCGGCGAGCCCCCACCTCATCCCGGGCTGTGCCAACGCCCCTGGCACAGCGGCTCCTCCCTGCTGTGCTGCGCCGGAGGCAGTCTCCGGGGGCGGCGCCGGCGGCGGCTGACGACACCGTCACACCGCCACGCCCCCGTCACCGGCGCTCTGCCGTCCCCTGACCACAGGGATCTCGTGTGACGTCACCAGCCGGCCGCTGCGCCCGCTCACCACGGCGCGGTGTTCGTGTGAGTGACGTCCATCGGCCGGTGAGCGCGGGGGACGACTGGCGACTGGGACATCAGCCTTCTGGTAGCCGGCCCGGTTGCCTGTCGTGCTTACGGTTCAGAATCAGCTGTGGATTAGGCACCGTATTCGGCCACGAACTTCGCTACGTGTGTGCATCAATGCTCAAGCACAATGGAGCAATGACGACACAATCTTCGGCAAGTGTGCGTGAAATGACAGTGGCGTAGGAATGGGGGGAGTGCGGGGAGAAAGTGGGCTCCGACCCTCAATATCGGACGACTTTGACGTCAGCGAGGTGGTGTCGCGTGGTAAAACACTATCAAATGTCGATCCCCCAAACTTGTTGGCAAGTTCTGAAGCTTTTTATCCCTCAACAAATGCTGACAAGGCTGACTAGCATGAGATGGCAACAGCACAGACATTTGAGCTTTCTGAACATCGCTTATTTTTCCTCAATGTGTCTGATTTATGATTACAGACGTAGCTGGGAGGGCGGGGGGGGGGGGAGGGGGAGGCGAAAGAAGCGGCTTCGCCCCCCTCCCAAGGCGCCCGACGGATTAAAAAAAACAAAAACGTATGGATACTGTTCCTGGGATATTGAAATGCAACAATAATTTATGCAATATCGTGCGACCTCCTCAACTTGCAGGGTTCCTCTGACGACTTCCCGTTCCTCTCCGCACACGCGCGTGACTCAACGCTGGCTACGTGCTCACTGATCAGCTCACTGTTCAAGCACATTAGCTGCAAGGCGTGATCACAGTTTGCTTGCGAATTCCCGAAAAGCTCCCTGAACTGAAATGTGCGTTTCAGTTGTTCTAGGAGTCACGTTACATTCAGATACATGCGCAAAAGTCATTTCTGCAAGTTGGCGGAATTTACGACCTGTTGCCAGCAGCTTGAGCCGAAAGACATGCACGGTAAAGCCGCAACG